CGTGGAATCAGTTCCAACTCATAGCAACCCTGCATAGGGTTTCCAAGGTTGTAAATCTTTACAGAAACAGAAAGCCTCATCTTTCTACCACTGAATGGCTGGTAGTTTCAAACTGCTGACCTTGAGGTTAGCAGCCCTACTTGTAACCATTCCATTATGCTACCAAATCTCCCTCCTTATAATATGTCCAAAGTACGCGAGACTAAGTCTCACCATTTTCACTTCTAAGGAACAGGCTGGCTATACTTCTTCTAAGACAAATTACATACTGAACCTACCCCAAAACACAACATTGAAAGGAACCGTTTCAGTGCAAAAGCCAGGAGATATAGCCTCTGGACCCGCACTATGCCTCTCTAGCTTACCTTGAGCAATATATATTTTCCAAGTACATATTAATAGCAGCTTAAGGAGTCCTGGTGTGGCGCTGTGGGCTAATGTACACAGACTGCAAAGCCATTTGAACTGCAAGGTTGGCGGTTCAAGCTCACCAGCTGCTCCTCGGAAACCCTATACATGGTTGCTATGGGTTAGAACCAACTCAATGGCACTTAATAACAAGAAGTCACCTTAGGAGGAGAGGGACATTACAAAAATCTTCTATAGTTCTCTAGTTATTTTAGTGGCCACAATTTGTCTCTCCAACTAGACTAAACTTGAAAGCTAGGAATTAGTCTCCTACTCTGTTTCTTGGTATAATTGACAAGGGTTAGCCATAGTGCTGGACACAACAATCAATTAACAAAACACTCATGCATAATTTTTTGTGGCGTTTATTCAAATAGGATTGCATTATGTACGCAACAACTGAACTTCCAGGTTGCATACAAGACTTTTATGGACTGAGTTGTGTCCCCTAAAATATGTATTGCAAATCCTAACCTCTATAACTCTTGCTAGTGTTGTTGTTGTTAAGTGCCATCGAGTCGGTTCCGACCCATAGCGACCCTGTACAGGGTTTCCGAGGGTATAAATCTTTACAGGAGCAGAAAGCCTCCTCTTTCTCCCGCGGAGCAGCTGGTAGTTTCGAACCGCTGACCTTAAGGTTCGCAGCCCGATTCGTAACCGTAGTGGTTACAAATCGGGCTGCGAACCTTAAGTTCAGAAGTTCGAAACTACCAGCCACTCCGCGGGAGAAAGAGGAGGTTTTCTGCTCCCGTAAAGATTTACAGCCTCGGAAACCCTGTACAGGGTCACTATGGGTCAGAACCGACTCGACGGCACATAACAACAACAACAAAATAATCCCATTGGGGAATGATTTTCTTTGCCATCTTGGGAGTCCTGGTGTGGCGCTATAGGATAAGCACTGGGCTATTAAACGTGAAATCGATTGTTCAAACCCATAAGCTGCTCCTTGGAAACCTTATACAGGGTCGCTATGAGTTGGAACCAACTGTGTTAATAGGACAGTATTAGAACTGCTCCTTAGAATTGCTGAGGCTGTAAATCTTTAAGGGAGTGGACAGTCTCATCTTTCTCCCAATGAGCAGCTGGTGGATTTGAACCACTGATCTTGTGGTTAGTGGTCCAGTACTTAACCCATTGTGTCACTAGGGATTCTTATTAGCATTTGTTGTTATTGTTATGTGCCGTGGAGTCGGTTCTGACTCACAGTGACCCTCTACAGGGCTTCCGAGGTTGTAAATCTTTACGGGAACTGAAAGCCTCATCTTTGTCCCGCGGAGCTGCTGGTAGTTTCGAACTGCTGACCTTAAAGTTCGCAGCCTGATTCGTAACCACTACGCTATAGGGTAGGTCTTAAATCAGTCTCTTTTGAGATAAAGAAGAGATGATACAAGTGAGCAGAGCAAAGATGGAGGAAGAGAGATGCAGTGCCACATGAAGATCGCCCAGGAGCAGAGAAGCTCAGAAGAGACAAGGACTTTCCTCCTGAGCCCGCACAGACAGAAAGCCTGCCCCTAGAGCTGGCACCCTGAATTCGGACTTCTAGTCACTTATACTGAGAGGAAATGAATGTCTGTTAAATCCACCCACTTGTGGTATTTCTATTCTAGCAGCACTAGATAACTAAGACAATGCCCAAATATAGGCCCTGCTCAACAATTCTAACTCCTGTTGTCGTTGTTAAGTGCCGTTCGTTGAGTCCGTTCCAACTCATAGCCACCCTTTATGGGGTTTCCAAGGAGCAGCTGGTGGATTTGAATGGCCGATCTTGTGGTTTGCAGTCCAGTGTTGATCCTACAGCGCCACACCAGGAGTTCTTCTAAGTCATGTATTAGTCACTAATGTCACCGTATTAGCCATAGCGATCCTCAACTGACTCTAGAAAGGACACACATAAAAACACACCAAACCTTGGGTACATGTTACTTGAAAGAAACAAGTAACAAACCAGCAATCCAAGGTCTCTTGAATCAATTCCATTTCCGCCCCCCTCTCCTCCCCTCAGTGAAATGCAACTTTATGTAGACAAGGAGAGCAGAGGCAAAAGACACACAAACAAGAACTTCACTGATTGGGGGGGAGGAGGGGAACATGGAAAGTGGTGTCAGTTTTCCCAGAGACCTTATCACAATAACAAGTTTCTCAAGTGCTTGGGCTGCACTTTCAGCTTCAGAATCTGGCATACTGATTCATTATACAGTATGGCTAATCCAGCTAGACTTAACTAGATCCATGCAAAGCAAACCAAGAGGTCCTAACTTTCCCCTCATCTGCAGAATAAAGGGGATGCCTGAGCAGCTGCACTTGAGGTAAAACACAACCTTCTGGAATGTTCCCCCTTGTAACATATACTTGGCAATCTTCTTCCAGGCAAGGGGGACCTAGTGAGGGAGTATGGATGGGGTCAATGAAAATTCATTAGCTGACAGGAAAAATCATTAGTGTCATTTTTTTGGTCACTTAGGATGGAACAAGTGTAATTCCGAAGATGAATTTCTCTACTTAAGCAATACCATCTCTAAGATGTAGGTAACTGGGAGCAAAAAGACACTCTGGGGGTCCTCAAAGATTAAAGCAATACATATGATAGTGCTAATCGTGGAGGGAGAGAATTCTCTCAAATGCCATGACCACTCCTCTTCCTTTACTTCATAACTCTGTTACCAAGGTTGGGAGCGTTTCCAAACACACACACACACACACACACACACACACACACACACACACACAGACCCTACCCTTCTGAACAGGAACAAGAAAATGGAAGGAATTCATACATATCCAGTAGAGAAAATACCACTAGATTCTGGATTCAGGTTTTGAAAGCAAATAAATTTCAATTGCACCAAATACCTAAAGGTCGTGGACACACACACACAAATTGTATTGCATGGGCCTTTTTCCTAAATAAGAAAGTCACAAGGCTCAAATATATGTTTTATATTTCAAAGATATTCATCAAGTAGTATGTGGTGTCAAAAAGTTTAACCTCTTAACTCAACTCTATAACACTCCTTAGGGTGTATCTTTAAATCTCAGATACTCCCAAATATAGAAGCTACTACCCCAAATAGAGAGCTCTGGTAGCGTAGTGGTTACGAATCGGGCTGCGAAGCTTAAGGTCAGCGGTTCGAAACTACCAGCTGCTCCACGGGAGAAAGATGAGGCTTTCTACTCCCGTAAAGATTTACAACCTCGGAAACCCTGTACAGGGTCGCTATGGGTCGGAACCGACTCGACGGCACTTAACAACAACAACAACCCCAAATAAGGAGCCCTATTAGCCTAGTGGGTTAGGAGCTGGGCTGCTAACCGCAAGGTCAGCAGTTCAAATCTACCAGGTGCTTTGCAGGGGAGAGATGAGGCTTTGTGCTCCTGTAAAGATTTACAGCCTCAGAAACCCTACAGGGTCTCTATGGGTCGGAACCGACTCCACAGCACATCACCACCACCACCATTCCCTCAAATGGGGTCATCCTCTCCCTTTAGACCAAACTTCTGACCTAAAACAAAACAAACATGGAGTCTAAGGTCGCCTCAACATGAATTCTCTGCACATCCCAGGCTGGAAAACTTCAGTTCTTTAAATGGATATCTTTTTCTCTTTTTTTGTCCCCAAGAGTCGGTTTCCAACGCAAAGAAAGACAGCAAGCCTAGCACTTCTTTCTCCGCATCACTATAAAAAGAGGCCAACTCCACAGGTTTGGTTACATTGAACACGCATCCGAGACAAGCCCCCAGAGGCCCGCAAAAGCTCGGTCAGGTGCTCAGAAAAATGCCCAAGTACGCAGTCAGCCACCTACAAGCTAGCCAATTGCACCCTACACCGGCGCACCAACGGGACCCAGAGGCACACAGCAGCGACAGAGAGAAGTCAGGACACATGAACACACACCATGGAAGAGAGCACATATAGAAACACTCAAGAGAAATAGACCGACTCATCCAGCTAGGGTAACAGACAGAACCCAGGCGTCCGCTACCCGCCCGGGAAGGCGCCGAAAGCACACACACACACATGCGCGCGCGCACACACACACACAGTCGCAGTCACATATGTAATGCATATGGAGAAACCCTAGCCCAGCCAGTCACCTCCCCGCCCCCCACGCCACTCACCACCTCCTGCCCCAGGCTAACCCCAATCGAGCGCCCCTTTCTGGGAGGCGGCCTGGGTCCTGGCGGGCAGCTGTCCGCAGGGGCGCGGTCCAGAGGTCTGCGGAAGCCAGGCCTGGGTGCCAGAGCCCGGGAGGGCTCTGCGGCTCGTGCAGCCATTCATTCGGCAACGCCCCAGTGGCGGACCGGAGCTGCAGCGAGGGAGACGGTGGCGTCCACTGCGGCTCCTAGGGCGATGCAAGTCCCGCCGCCCGCTCGGCGCCTAATCAACCCTCGTCACCTGCCCACCTCCTCCGGCCTCGGGGACAGGATGGGGAACAGAGCCGCTGACCCCGGGGGGCTGCAGCAGTCCCGTCTGGCTTTGGCTCCTGGAGGCTGTCCACTGCCCTGCTCTAGGCGGCGGTGGAGGAGGCCGAATCTCTGCGGCCCACCTCAGCCCCCCCGGCCCCAGTGCTGGCCCCCAAGCCCCCACTCACCACCTGCCGAGCTATGTCGGTCGTTGCCATCGCTCCTTCGTCCGCCAGGGCTGCAAGGGGGTGCCGCCAAAAGCGGAGCTTAAGCACAGGAAACAGCGGAGCTGCTCCGACAAAGAGAAAGTGTTACACTTAGGGCGCGACCAAGTCTAAAGAGGGGAGGAGGCGCCAGGGAGGGGCCCCCGCGCCGCCGCTCCAACCCCGACCTCCCCTCAATCGCCCACCCCCCGGAAGGAGGGTGTGGGCGGGACGGATTGTGTACGCTGGCCCCCCTCCAGGAGCCAGGTCCCGGCTCTCCCTGCAGCCCAGACACAGGCCTTGGCGAAGGGGGGCGGGGGCTCCCTCGGTGACCACGTCCTCTGTTCCCCCGTCACTGGACTCCGTGGTACGTCCCGACCTCTACGAATTGTCACACCCCCCTGCTCTCGCCTTACATCCCAGCGTCCCCAGACCCCTGGAGCTGCCAGTGAGCCCCTGTCCCCCTTCGCGCTCCACTGGGCGGCTGGGCTCCGCAGTCCTCCGCCCACCCTCCCGGAACCCTCACCCCTCGACCTCCTCACCGAGCGCTCAGGGTGCTGGCCTGGAGCGCCCGCCACTGGAGTCTCGCTCCCCCCTCACCCATGGCCCTGAACCGCTGAGGCCCGATGGGTGGCTGCGGCACCTGCAGCCCCATGGCAGAGCTGAGAAAGGGGGCACGGCGCGGGGTGGGGGGGTGGGAGGGAGCCGCACTGCCACCGCACAACGGAACTGAGACAGGCGGAGCCCGAGACCAGGGTTCCTGAGATGCCCCTTCCTACCTGGGGCGTCCAAATCTGGGAGAGGGCGGCAGGTGATAATTTCGGGAAGCCGGGGCTCACTACCATTGGAATCTCAATCTAGAGAGACCCCAAGCCCCTTTTTCAGCCCCTAGCTCTAGACGCTCAGCAGGGGAGCAGAGTCTTCTAGAGGCCATTCTCCCAGGGCGGGGGAGGGGGCTTCGAGGTGTCCAGAGGAGGACTGGACCTGAAGAACGCCAACGCGTGGCTGGGTCGCCAGGTGCTTAGTCCCGCACCCGGATTCTCCCTGAACCCTTGGCCTACCCCAGCCAGACGAGGTGGCGGGGCGGATGGAAAGAGGGGTACCACCAGTACCAGAGCTGTGCCCGCTTGCGCTCCTGTCCCTCCAGGCCCACTGCCTCAGGTCCCCTCTCCTGTCACCCTCTTCCAGTCTAGGAGCCCGCCCACCTCTCCCGGGAAAGCCCCCTGGTTCGATTCCTGTGGCTAGTGAACCCGAGGGGTAGGCACCCTGTTCTCAGAGAGGGACTCAAGCCTGTGGGGAAGACTCGGATTGCTGAGAGAAACTCTAGCCTGCCAGAGAACCTGGATGGGGCGACCCTAGGCGGGATCAGGCCAATGAAGGAAGGAAGGAAGGAAGTAGGAACCAGGGAGTCTGGGTCGAGCCCAGAGGCTGTTGCTTTGGAGCAGGAGGGAAGCTAGAAGGCAGGGTGGCTGTGTGAATCTCTTCCCTTGCACTTGTTTCCATAGACCAGAGCAGTACTGCTCACTCTCTCCTACGGAACTCCGTTTCTTCTGCGTCTACCATGGGAACCAGGACTTGGTAGACTGCATCCCCAGTGCCTAGCTCTGGGCCTGACATTCAAGAGGCACCCAATGAATGAGTATTTTCTGAGTGGAATTGAAGAGGAGGGGGAAAGGGGATTCAGATAGTGGGGGAGTGGCTGAGGGGGAAGGACAGAAGAGCAAAGACACAATGGAGAGAGTAGCAATAGGAACAGCCATGAGGAGCTAAAGAGAGAACCTGGAAGAGTCAGGATCTAGTAGAGAGGATTTCTGTGTGACCAACTGCGCAGACTCTCAGGGCAGATGGCGGCCAGGAAGATGGGTGAAGGAAGAGGGGTGACCGAAGTCTTTGAGGTCTTGGGGGGAGGGTGCTGGGGCAAGGCCTGGGGAAGGCACAGGGCCCTGGATTAGGGTGGCAATGACAGGCATGACCAGGGCTGTGTTTGAGGAACAGCTGTAAGGCTTAGGCCCCAACCGGATGGGGGCTGGGAGTCAGAGGTGACTGGCAGCTTCCAGGCTGAGTGTCTTGTGGGGAAAGACAAATCTAACCTGGAAAAGGCTGGGGTGAATGGGGAAGAGCCAGGAGTCAGTAGCTCTAATCTGAATTTGGGGCTTGTATGGGGGCGGATTTGGAAGCCAGAGTTAAAAACTACAACCTCGCCCAGGGAGGAGTGGAGTGGGGTGGGGCTGGCAGGCTGCTGGACACCACCCCCCCAAACCCTGCCTGGCTCTGTGTGCACTGCCTCTCAGGTCTTAGTGCTCCCTGCTGACCAGGTTCCGGACATTCCTGCCCCATAGCAGTAGCACCTATCTCGGAATCTTGGTACTCAGCCTATGTGTCTCACTCGGTCAGTTTGCCTCCAGGACCCCTAGGGACCTAGTAGAAATCGCCTCTGCCAGAACTATGCATCGACCATATTAGGGCCAAGTGTGGAATTCAAGTGTACGCTGGACTGCAAGGTCGGTTTGAACCACAAGGTTCAAGCTCACCAGCTGCTCCCCTGAAACCCTACACAGGGTCGCTTTGGGTCGGAACCGACTCAACAGAACATAACAGCAACAACAACATTGCCCTTTAGTCCCTCCAAGAGCTGTTGCCTGGAATTGCAAACCCCTCAAGGACCTGTACCTGCGGGGTTTCTGTGGGGAGTGTGTGTGTTCATCGTTGTTATAAGGAAGCGTGCATTTGTATGTGTCAGCATAAGATGGTGTGTATTTGCCAGGGTGTGTGTCTGTGTGCATGTCTGTATGTGTCAGGGTGTGTGTTGGCCTCCATTATTGGCATGTGTTTGTATGTGCCCGTGCGTGTCTGTGTCAGTCCATGTGCATGTGTGTCAGTATATGTAACTGTTTGCATGTTAGTGTGTGTCTGTGTGTGTACGTGTCAGTGCATATGTTCGTATTTATGCAAAGGTGTGTGTGCCATTATTGTGTTTTGATGTGTCTGTCAGTGTGTTCATCAGTGAGAACATGTTGGTATATGTGTGCATGTGTGTGTTAGTGTGTGCCTGTGTGTGTTTAGCTCATGGTACTCTGGCCCTTACATACCTTACCTCATTTAATGCACTTAAGCTAATAATTGAAGAGATGTGAGTTTTTACACTCATTTCATGGAGGGAAAGAGAGGCTTTGGGACTCACTGGGTGCATGCCTCCCAGTCTTGAGTCCTGAGTCACCTGTCCCTAACACTGCTGGGTTGGTTGAAGAGCTGAGGAGGTATTCTTGATCAATTGGTGGATTTTCTTCCCACGCATGGTTGGGGTCAAAAGATTCCTTCATCAAGGAGACTTCCAAAAAGATAGCAGATTCGGCAGATGCATCACAGAAACCCTCTACAATAAAGAGAGACCAAAGGAAACAGGCACAGATGAAAAGGTTAGAGAAGTGGATTGAGTGCTTGCTGGCAGGAGAAACTGAGCAGGGATGGCAAGAGAGGAAGACTGGCTGGTGAATGGCCGACCAGATGTGGCTTGCCATCTTGAAATTTTGTGAGCAGCTTTGGCAACAGAAGGTGCTCTGGCAGAGCAGAGTCACGCAGGGGATAGGAAAAACGTAAGTTCTTCTTTTCCCTCACTCTCCCCTGGTGACCAGAGGTGTGGCCAGCTCCTACCCTCATCCACCCACAGTGCAGACTCTGCTCTCCGGGAGTTTGGAGCCATGTGGTTGGGAGACACACCAGTGTGAGGTGGGGTCAGCTGCACTGCTTTGGTGCCTGGATTTAGGTGGACTCTGTTCCAGACCTACAGAACCTGCAAAGCCACCAGACCAGCAGTGTTGTTGTTGTTAAGTGCCAATGAGTGGGTTCCAACTCATAGTGACCCTGTATAGGGTTTCCAAAGAGCAGCTGGTTGCTTTGAACTTCTGGCTTTGTGGTTTGTAATCCAGTGCTGGTCTAGCAGAGACCCTTATAACCAGCCACCCTGCCCTCAGCTGCCCTGTGGTCCTAACAAAAACTGAAACCAGTTCCATCCAACGACTCCAGGAATTACTTCTGGATTAAGTGTCCTGAACATAGATGACACCTAGAACTATAGGAACTCTATCTAGGACCAGAAACACTGCTGTCACATCACTCCTGGATCCACTTTGTGAACTCCTCAGTGGCAGGGCACCCCGAGAGTTTTTCCCTCTCTAGGTCCAACAGCTGCGTTGCTTTTTATGTTTCCGTTTCATTTTTTTTCCCTTTGTGGTTTCATTAATTTTGTTTGGCTATTCTTTCTTCTTCTTCTCTTTCCATTCCCTTGATTTTGTTTTTCCTCCTTTTCTTGTTTCTCATTTCCCATCTTTCTATTTTTTTTTTTTCTTTTGATCTTGCTTTACTACTCTTTCCTCTCTTTCGCTTTTCATCTTTCCTCTCCCTGGGTTTCCCAAGTATTTTATTATTATTTTTTTTAATTTCTTCATTTTATTTTCTCTCTTCTATAGCTCTATTTTCCCGGCCCTCTTTTCTCTATTTAGTTATTAAATAATTTTTTTCTGGTTGCTGCCTGTTTTTATTTCTTTGCTCTCCTTTATTACTTTGTCTTTGCATTGTTGGTTGCATGCTTGCTTCTTATGAGGGTTTTTCTCTTGTGTGTGTGTGTATGTGTGTGTTTCTCCTCTTTCCCACCCAATAGGTGACAGCAATTGTGCTCATACAGCCAAGCCACAATCGTTTCCGCTGAGCTCCAACCGCTGGGCAAGAGTCAATACCAGTTCCTATACCACTTGATTAATGATAGACAGCAATCAACTACCAAACTCACCCTAAATTGAGCTGCATGAATGGCAAATAGAGAACATTGAACACACTTCCATCTTCTAACAACACTCACAAGGAGAAGGTTGGTGTGAGCCTAAGTACACAGTAACATCAATTAAATACAAATAAGACAACACTGAAATGTCATGGAGAAAACGGATCATTTTGGCTCACTCGAAGAAACAAGAGCGACTGGCTCAAGAAAATGACAAAGATGCAGTCAGAAAATATTTCTGAGGGAAAAAAGGTAAAAGAACTAACTGAAAAAGAATTCAAAAGAATAATATGTAGGTACCTTTAAATGATTGACAGAAAAATCAAGGAAAGCAAGGAGAATACAGAAAAAAACTCTAGAGGAATTCAGGAAAACACTACAAGAACAAACAGACAAAATAAATAAAATTTTGAAACAATAAAAAAACCCTGCAATTAAAAATCCAGAGATGAATACATTGAAAGGGCAAAGGAGTAGCTTCAAAGTACTAGAAGCCCAAATTAATGAGCTTGCAGAGAAGTCTCTCAATACTAGTATGCTAGAAGAAC